AGGGTTTTTTTATCGCTTAAAACCTCTCCTTTATTATTTTCTGGTGTTTGTGAGCTTTCCTCAATCTTAGGTGGGTTTCCTCAGCATTGCTGCATGGCTGTTATTATGGGGAAAAAGGAAAGAGGGAAATTATGCTTTTCCTGGATTTCTTTTTTACGAGCCAGATATGTAACATTAGTCCAGACCTCTGGATCAGATATGTCTGCTGACAGGATCCAGGGCGCAAATTGATACACCCCATTCCAAATTTTTTTTTTTTTTTTGGCCTTTTTGAGACAGGGTCTCCCTGTAGTTCCAGCTGTCCTGGAACTGACTATGTAGACCAGGCTGGCCTTGAACTCACAGAGATCCGCCTGTCTCGGCCTCCCAAGTACTGGGACTACAGGCGTGCGCCACCACGCCCAGCGATTCCAAAATTTTAAGCTTTCTTTTTGGGAGATCTTAAGCCCTCTTGATTTAAGTAAGGCTCTAAGGGAACGAATTTGAAGTTTTTTCTGGCGTGATGTGGAATTTCCCATTATAAAGGGAAGATGTTTTTACAGTAGTCTGACACTAGGGGGTGGAACGCCCTGACAAGTTACAAGCCTCAGACTGCAGAAAAAAAAAGTCGCTTTTAAATCTTTTGTTCTGGCCGCAGTCACCTTGAATTTTCAAGTGCTCCGCAGGGCTAGTTAATTTAAATTCTCACTCAACTGGTTTTAGCTGTGGTTTGAATGCCCTGGGGGGGGCAGGATAATGAAACTGACTAGGGAAGTTTACTTTAGAAGGAGAAAAGAGAAAAGAGAAAGCCAAGCGCCATGAGTGGGGAGGCTTTGTGGCACAGCTGCCTTTTTTAGTCTCCTGATGGGAGATGAAGGAAAGAAAAGATTTTTGCTTCTCTCCTGGTTGGGAGGTACTCACGAATCCTGCGTTTCAGTGGGCGCCAGCTGCTAGCTGGCGCGAGGTTCAGAGGCTCTCACGTTGGGCGCCAGATATGGGCGTTCAGGGATCTCGGGGTGCCAGCTGCTAGCATGGCGCCGGTCTCCTGCGCGCACCTGGGAAGCAGCGGGTCCTGCGGCGCATCTGCTCCGCATTGCTGGCGGGTCCCTGCTTCTCCACGTTGCTTCTCCGCTGCTGGAGCTCTCTGCTACCGGGGCTGGCCTGGTCGGGTTCCGCCCCAATTTCACCCGTGCACTTCCGCAGGGCAGGTAAAGCTGGATTTTCATGAGTCGATGACGGAAGGATAGCACCCCCCCGGGGAGGCTGGATTGTAGGCAGTAAGACACAGAACTCAGCTCAGTCAGTGGTACAGCCCTTTTATTCAGTGACTCAGCTCGGCTCCAAGTCTAAGTGATCCAGCTCCGATTATTGAGGGGAAACTAGGATATTTTATACTATGGGGGTGGTAATAAAAACCTTAGCTGATAGGTACTCCTGGAATGCTTCATTTACATAGGGCGGTGGGCTTCTATCAGGCTATCAGACAACGCCTGATTAAAACCTGGTAGCTCCTGTGCCAGAGGGCATGTATCTTGTGATGGGCATTTCAAAAGTAAGTCAGGGAGGAGAGCAGAAGGCGCCCCGCTGAGAAGGGGAGTCCCCCATTCGCGCCGAGCCAGCTTGTGGCTATCCGGACATGGGGAGACTGCTACCCTAAACAGCAGGGGTCCCCAACACCCATCTGCAGGTATTGAAGAGAAGTCCAGGGAGGCAGGCAACACTGCCCAGGGGAAGGGTCTGCTGCCCCCAGAACCAAGGCCGGCTCACCCAGAGAGCCTTGGTGGGGAGGGATGGAGGTGTGTCAGGCAATCCTCTGCAGAAACTGTGCCTGAAGGTGTCTGTTCCTAGCAGGGCAGGGCACTCCACAGCTGGGCTAGTGCCTTGCTGACTACAACAGGGCAGATGTGTCACAAGCCACAGCCACTGGCTAGTACCAAATCCATTTCTAGTCCTCTAGGCTCTCCATAGGTGGGGACAACAGGTCACTATTGTGTCCCCAGATGTTTTAAAGATCATCTATGGTCAGGAGAGTACCATGGGTAGGCGAGCTCTCTCCCTAGGTGGCCTGGGCTCCCCAGGCACTGTGATATGCTTCCTTGATTGTTTAGGAGAAGGAATGCTGGGGGAATATGATCCTGGTTGCCACCTTTGTCCCTGGCCCTCCTTGGATTAGCTGTCCCCGCCCCTGATTGCTTGGGCTAGGGACTACACCCTCTCTTTTACCACTTCCCACTGAGAGCTTGCTTCAGGACAGGGTTTAATGTCCCAAGCCTGAAGATGGTGCTGATCCTGGCTCCAGGGTCCAGGTAAGTGTCCATTGTGCCTTCCTGCCAAGTGATTGATGCTCTCCAGAGGGCCAAGCACAGTCATTGTAAGAGGCCAGGCCCTCTGTTCTTTTGGAGTTTTTATTTTGGGGCTTTTTGTTGTTGCTGTTTGTTTGGTCTTTTTGAGACAGGGTCTCCCTATAGACACAGGCTGGCCTGGAACTTGCTATATAGACCCTATTAGCCTCAGTCTCACAGAGATCCACCTGCCTCTGCCTCCTGAGTGCTGGGATTAAAGATATTCACCACCATGCTCGGCTTTTTTTTTTTTTTTTTGAGACAGGTGGGTCTGGAACTCACCATCCTCTTGCCTCAATTCCCTGATGCTGGGTTACAGGTGTGTGCTGCCACACCTCCATCCTTGTGCTTTTGTTTGTGATTTGGAGCACAGAATCCAGTCCTTTCAGGTGGAGGACCTGAGTCATCCTTTAGGGGTCACTAAGGCTGCTCCTAAGAAGTTGTGATTTTTGTGTTTTATGAAGGATGTTGATAAAGGTATAAGGACAGATATTATAAAATGTCAATACTGTATGGTGGAAGGTCAGGCTGAGGACCAGGATAAAAACACAGAGCCATGTGGTAGGAGAGACATTCAAGGGAAAATACCTGACCACCCCATGGCAGCAGCACCCAGACCGAGGGCAGCAGAGACCTGGGAAGAGTTTTAGAAGGGGATCTGCTTGGAGATAAGGGGCTGTCAGTCTATCAGCCTATAGGTAGGGCTTAGAGGAGACACCCACAAGAGCAAGTTCTGAGAAGCCAGCTGTGCATGTGACCAGAGTATGTATTGTTATGGCTCCAACCTCATGTTGGTATGCTACCATGAGGTGCCACCAGGTCTACAGCAGGAGCTGTTGCTACCTAGTTCTCACAGACAAGCCAGAGAGAGGAACTGACTGATTTGTACAGTGTCTCACTCTGTCGCCCAGATTGGCCTGGTACTTACTGCACTGAAACCAGGCTGCTTTCAAACTTGCACAGCAATCCTCCTACCTCAGCCTCTTGAATATTAGCATTACAGTGTGAACCACTACACTTGGCTCTAGCCAAGGGGCTTTAACGTATGATCAAGACAACCAGTTATATAAGGTCTGCTTGGCTTTGGAATCAGGGTTTGGAGAGTGAGGGCTGCCTGTGTGTCCTATGCACATTTTACATTCTTTCTGTTTGGTAAGATGTTCCATGTGCTGATTTTTTGGTTTTTTTTTTTTTTAGTTTATGGGACTGAAGAAATGGCTCAGAGGTTAAGAGCACTGGCTGTTTTTGCAGAGGACCTGGGTTTGGTTCTCAGCACCCACATGGTAGCTAACATCCACCTGTAACTCCAATTCAAGGGGGATCTGACATCCTCTTTTGGTCTCTGTGGGCACTGCATGCATGGGTGCACTTACATACATGTGGGCCATATACACTCATACACATAAAAATCAGTAAAAATCTAAAATTGTTATTTATTGTGAATACATGTGCATGCCATGACATGAGTGTAGAAATCAAAGGAAAACTTGTGAAAGTTATTTTGCCCCTTTACCATGTGGGTCCTAGGGATCACACTCAGGTCATCAGGCTTGGTGACAAGCACTTTACCCACTGAGCTATCTCACCAGTCCAATTTTAGATGTTTTATTTTTGCATTTAGGTTTTAGTATAGGATGAACTTCTTGGATTTTTAAAAGATTTATTTATGCTTATTTGTATTGTGTATATGTGAGTACCTTTGTGTATGTAGTGTACCACATGCATGCAGTGCCCACAAAGGTCAGAAGAGGGCATCAGATCCCCTGGAGTTACAGATGGTTGTCACCCGCCATGTGGGTGCTGGGAACTGAACAGGGTCCCCTGAAGAGCAGCCAGTACTCTTAACCGTTGAACCATCTTTCTAGTCCCCTTTCCCAGATGTTTTAGGATGGCTTGTCACCTTTCCCAGTAAACTAACTGTGAGGTGGTTTTTTTCAGCTGGCCCCTACTGCTAACATCTTTATTTGCCTCTGATATTTTGTCTTTACAAACAACAAAGCAAATAAACCTGACCATACTTCACTGTGCACATGGGCATGCCACCTACAGGATACATTTTGGAAAGTGAAATCTCTGGGTCTCAGGGTAGGACATTTACAATGTGCATACCTGCTGCCTCTCCTTCCTGGAGAGGTGGAATCATTTAGTTTCTAAGCAATCCAGTTCACTACCTGTTTTTTCATAATTTTACCAACAGAGAACGCCATCAGGTGTCTACATTTTTGCTGCTTTTGTAGGTGAAAGGTGGTCTGTGTAGTTTTTATTTGTATTTCTCTCATCAGAGATGGCTTTCTATATATGTAGGGAAAGTGTGTCTAAGAGTCATATGGATTCCTTTTCTCTGTGCTGTTCTCGTTGCTTTTGTTTTTTCATAATAATTTCCAGAACATTCTAGGCAAGTGCTGTACCATTGAGTGACACCCCCAGCCATGTAGGGATATATTCCCTCCCAGAACCCTCTACCCTTTCAGTAGGAAGTCAGGAAGGTGAGGCTAGTAAAATCAGAAGGATGTTTCTTTGAAGATCTAGCAAGCCCCCTTTGCCACTAACTTGGGAGGTTGCTTCTTTTCTTCCTTTCCTTCAGTTTATAGTCTCTCAGGTCTAACCTCTGTGTGCAATGGCACTGGGGCTGATGGTGAGCCAGGCTGGCTGGGGTTTCCCTGCAGCCTGATCCTCACAGAAACTATGTGTTCATGTGGGCAGGGGTGGGAAGGGATGCTCCCAAAGCACTGGCTGTGCTGATGAGGACTGTAGGCTGGCTCCAGGGCCAGGAGTGGATTCCGCCCAGAGCAGACAGCTTTCTTTCTTCCCTCCCTCCTTCCCTCTCTGTTCCCTTTCTCTGTTTCCAAGCCTCTAAGGAACCCTTCTACCAGTCCCCATCTCTCCTGCATGTTCTGGCTAGATCCAGTCCTTGCTCACTCTGATTCTCATGGGGCCCTTGTGTCCCCCAGGTCGTTTGCGAAGCCCCCAAAGCAAGTGCAGACGGTATGTGAGTGCATCCTTATCATGAAAGGCTATAAGGAGCTCAACTGGAAAACTGCCAAGGGCATGATGTCCGACCCCAACTTTCTGAGATCTCTGATGGAGATTGACTTTGACTCCATCACCCAGGGCCAAGTGAAGAATATCAAAGGTGAGTGAGGCAGGCAGAGCCAGGCCAAGAGGATGGTGCTAGTCAGCCAATACCACAGCCCTGCAGATGGAGTCAGCCTGTCCTCCAAATGGTTGGCTCAGCAGTAGCTCTGGCTCTCCCTGACAGGAATCAGCATCTTCTTATTGGAACCCAGACAGGCCTTGCCCTCTGTGTGGCTCAGCACTTTCCCCTTGTACCTCTGGCCAGTGTCACGTCTCTGTGGGATCAGGCACAGAGAGTGACCATACCATCATCAGCCAGCCGTGTATCTTTGTTCAGAGAATGCCCAAGTTCCCTTCAAGCTGACTCTGTGCTGCCTGGAGCTCATCCAGGTGAGATGATGTCCTTGGTGAAAGTCTCATCATCATAGCTCAGCAGAGCCTTACACTGAGGGGCTGAAGATGTGGCTCAATTGGTAGAGTGCTTGCCTAGAGTGCATGAAGCCTTGGGTTCATTCCCAGGACCCAGTAAGCTGGGCGTGGAAGTGAACACCTGTTATCCCAGCACTTGGAGGCAGAGGCATCAGGTGTTCAAGGTCATCCTGGGCTATATACATGAATCACTGTCTCAAAAAGAAAAAAAAAAGGAAAGAAAGTAAAAAAAGAACATGTTCAATCCCCAGCAGAACCCCACGTAAAGGTGGAAGGAGAGGACCAACTCCACAGAGCTGTCATCTGATCTTAATCAACATGTGCACCATGGCATGTGCGCATACACATGCATACACACACATAGACTCACATATACACAAACATACTCACATACAGGCAAACACATATACAAACACATACACATAAATTCACACACACATATATAAACACACACAAACTCACACATGTGCTCACACAAAAACACACGCACATACACATTCAAACACACACATACGCACACACACATTAATCAACATTTTTTTTAAAAGAAAGTAAAAAGAACTAACTACCAATGCCCTTTCCCAGTCCCTTAAGCTAAACACACTCTAATAGCAGCTGTGAAATCCCAGCCCATCCTCCTGGACACAACTGGATGGACTTCATTTCTGTGACTTTGCTCCTGGGGTGATGGTACAAGTGGAGGTGACCAGAAACCTGTCACTGCTTCCAAATCCCTGTCAACCTTCTGCCTGATCCTGTTGTGCCTAGCTAGATGCCTGATCCCCAGGACTGGAAGAGGCCCAGTGGAGGCCTTGGGGTCGTATGACATCATAGGGTGTTCCAGGTTACAGTATCTTTGTGCCTCTCACCCATCTTCAGCTGTACATTGAAGAAACTCCTGCACTGTAGGTCACCAAGGAGTCCACCCCAGGCCACCGAGGAATAGGGGGACTTCCTTCATCCACAGGCAATGTCTCCAGTTTTGTCCTCCTTGAGAAGGAACTCACCAATAACTGTGCCTTTGACACCTCCCCCCAGGCCTCTTGAAAACTCTCAACACCACAATTGAAGAGATGGAGGCTGTGAGCAAGGCAGGGCTAGGGATGCTGAAGTTCGTGGAGGCTGTCATGGGGTACTGTGATGTATTCCGAGAGATCAAACCCAAAAGAGACAAGGTGAGCCAGCCCCACTACCCAGACCCCACCCTGGAGTCAGAGTTCAAGTATCCATAGCTCTGCTGGAAAATTCTTGCAGGTCCTGACCTGAAACCACAGAACGACTTGCTAACTCTGGCCACTGCTCTTACTCACACATCATATGGATAGAGCTGAGACCCATGTGCAGAGAGTAGACAGGTGTTCACAGCTGTTCTGCAGCAGCCTATCAGTCTTAGTGCTGTTGACTTTAGGGCCAGCTCGTCCCCCTTGCCTTCCTATGCATTGCAAAGTATTTAGTGGCGTCCTTGTCTCTGCCTACCGGATACCAGTTTCCCTTACCCAGAAATGTCTCCAGACATTGTCCAGGTTCTTTGTGTAGGCAGGTCAGCCCCATCACCAACAGCTGGACTGCACATGAAGGTGACAGGTGGAGTCTATTGGCCAGTCTTGATATTACTTTTCCATCAGAATTTGATCCCATAGAGGTTATAGGAAGAATAGTGTTGTCTTCAAGGTGTTCTCTTGAGTTTTGGACTTAGAGCCACCAAGCCTCCTTCCTGTGAATTCAGGATATACCACCTGAGCTATCTGCCATCTTAGGGGCAGGCTGTCTTTTTTGAATAGAATGTAGAGCTTTTGCATTGAAGAGAGGCTCAGAAAAGAGGTCATGTGCTGCGCTGGGGGGAGAGCACTTGCTATGCAAGCAAGAGGACCTGAGTTCAGATCCTCTGTACCTGTCCAAAAACCAGGTCTGTAACTCCAGTCCTGGAGTGAGCAGAGACAGGAGATTCACTGGGACTCACTGGCTGACAAACTAGCCAGAAAAAGGTGAGAGACCTAGACTCAAGGGAATAAAACAGTAACAGAGCAGGATACCCAGTGTCCTCTGCCCTCTGTGCACATGGGCGTGCGCGCACACACACACACACACACACACACGCCTCACCACAGCATCTGGAGCCCCCACCAATGTGTGTACAGAGATGCCGTGTGAACACACTTTCTGCCTGCTGTGGGGCCCTCTGCCATTGCTCTGCCCACTGTCTTCACATAGGTGGCCAGGCTGGAGCGGAATTTCTACCTAACCAAAAGGGAGCTAGAACGGATCCAGAATGAGTTGGCAGCAATCCAGAAGGAACTGGAAGCTCTTGGGGCCAAGTATGAGGTAGCCATCCTGGAGAAGCAGAAACTTCAGGAGGAGGCAGAGATCATGGAGCGGCGGCTGATCGCAGCTGACAAGCTTATCTCTGGGCTGGGATCAGAAAATGTCAGGTCAGCTGGCACTACCCACCTGAGGAAGCTCTAGTCTAGTTGGAAGCAGGTTCCTGTTGGTTCTGGGGAAGGTAGCTGCTCAGGTGGCCTCCCTGTCTCATGTAGATGGCTCAACGACCTGGATGAGCTGATGCATCGGCGGGTAAAGCTGCTGGGTGACTGCCTGCTCTGTGCAGCCTTCCTGAGCTATGAGGGTGCCTTTACCTGGGAGTTCCGAGATGAGATGATCAACCAAGTGTGGCAGAATGACATCCTGGATCGGGACATCCCCCTGAGCCAGCCATTCCGTCTGGAGAACCTGCTCACAGATGACGTGGAGATCAGCAGGTGTCAAACTGGACCAGGAGGGGCTCAGGATGGGGTTTGCATGTGTGCCACCTACAGGGAGGGCTGTGGTCTTTGGAGCAGAGCCAGAGATCCAGCCTACCTGGGTGCACAGTGAGGGCAGGGTGAGCCCAAACCCAGCCCCAAGCAGGGTCCAGTAGCCTGGCAACCAGAGGTTGTTCTGGAAAACTGACCCATCACCTCCAGCCTTTGGCTCTAATGTTGGTGGGGGGAAACTCCATCTTCCTGTGGTGTCCCTGCAGGTGGGGTTCCCAGGGCTTGCCCCCTGATGAGCTCTCAGTCCAGAATGGCATCCTTACTACCCGGGCCAGCCGCTTCCCACTCTGCATTGACCCCCAGCAACAGGCCCTCAACTGGATCAAGAGGAAGGAGGAGAGAAACAACCTGCGGGTATGGCCTCACCTAGCCCACAGCCTGGCCCTTGCCCTGCCCTGGACCCACCCAAGGTCCCTCTTCCTACCATTTTCCAGGGTGTAGAACAACTAAACAATCTTGACTTTGACTGGGCTGCAGGAGCACTTCCTTCCACAGAGTTTGGAGCATCTTCAGGAAGGGGATAGTGTCTTCTGTCTTTAGTTCTTTCTGTCCACCACAGGGCTTGGTGGCCCTGAATGCGCACTGTGGGCTCTTTAGAGCTAGAGTGTGGGTAGGGGCTGGTGAGGAGAGAGGATAACACAACAGCTTCATTGGGATGTAATTCACTTAGTGGCACTCATGTAAAGCATGTGATTCAGGGATTTTAGTGTATTTTCGAGTCATTTAACAGTTAACAGCTTAGAATATTTTTATCCCCTTCAAGAACAACTCAGCCAGGGTCAACCACTAATATATTCCCTGTCTCCATGGGTCTGCCTATCTGGATTTCTCCCATCACTAGGTCTTTTGTGACTGGCTTCTTTCACTCACCATTGTTTTTGGTGGTTCATCCAAGCTATACCAGGTGTGGGTACTCCATTACTTTTTATAGCTGCATATTGTTCCTTTGTGTGGCTATACCACATTTTGTTGATCCATCATTTGATAAGCATCTGGGTTGTTTCCACTTTTGATGCTATGAACATTTGTGTTTGAATGGGTACTAGAAATATTTGGTTTTGGGGGGATCATCACACATGCCACAGTGTGCATATGGAGGTCAGGAGACAACTTTGTGAAGTTGATTCTCTTCTTCTACCATGTGGGTTCCTGGGATTGAACCTGGGTCATCAGACTTAAAAAGCAAGTGGCCTTACCTGCTGAGCATCTTGTCAGCCCTGTGTCCTTGTGTCTATTTGGATATGTGTTGCCTCCCAGTCCTCTAGGGTATGCACTAGAGTAGGAGTGCTGGGATGCTACCCCTTTTAGCTCAACTGACAAGTTAGCAATTTTCTGTTACCCCTATCATCACTTTCTGGCCCTTGCTTCCCCTCTCAATTCCTTTGGACACCCCTGGTCCCCCTGCCTCCTGAGGAGGCCCCCACATTTGTGGAGGGCTCAGTCAGGCATGACCACTCCCTGCTCCTGCCCCTCTCGCAGGTTGCCTCCTTCAATGACCCGGACTTCCTTAAGCAGCTAGAGATGTCCATAAAGTATGGGACGCCCTTCCTGTTCCATGATGTGGATGAGTACATCGACCCTGTGATTGACAACGTCCTGGAGAAGAACATCAAGCTCTCCCAGGGCCGCCAGTTCATCATCCTAGGTGACAAGGAAGTCGACTACGACTCCAACTTCCGGCTCTATCTCAACACCAAGCTGGCAAACCCCAGATATTCCCCGTCAGTGTTTGGGAAGGCCATGGTCATCAACTACACTGGTAAGAAGGGACAGAGCTAGCCATACACTCTCAGGGCCCCTTTGGAGACTGCATCTGAAGTCTCAAGGGCACATGGCACCTGGTGGCCCCTGTTCTCCCCCTTGTAGCTGTCTGTCTTCACTGGTCAGCTCTAAGTGTGAACAACCCTCAGAAGCCTGGGGGCTTTGGATGGCAGTGAGCCGTGGATGCCCAGGCTTGCCCAGTGTGGACCCTGGCACTGTGGGGTTACTCCACAGGGCAGGGACAGGAAGAAGCCAGCCTATCTTTGTTTCTCTCTCTCTTTCTCTCTCTCTCTCTCTCTCTCTCTCTCTCTCTCTCTCTCTCTCTCTCTCTCTCTCTCTCTCTCTCTCTCTCTCTCTCTGTCTCTCTCTCTCTCTCTCTCTCTCTGTTTCTCTCTCTCTGTCTCTCTCTCTCGACAGGGTCTCCCTATAGCCACAGCTAGCTTGGAACTTGCTATGTAGACAGCAATCTGCCTGCCCCTTCCTCCTGAGTACTGGGATCAAAGGGATGTGCCATCACACCCTATTATCTTCGTTTCTTCTAATGGAGGTGTAGATTTTTAATTTTCTCTACCTCTTGATAGAGTTCAGTAGGAACAGGAAATGTCTCACATTTTCTGGAGTGTCCCATGTTCCTGAGGTCCGCCAAAGGTGTGAACCCAGGGCTTCACTTCAGTGTGTCAGCCTCCATTCAGCAACTCTGCTCCTAGTCTCTCCTCCTGGGAGTCTCACTTGGTGGCTGTGGGTCCCCTGCTTCCACCATGCTGTCCAGGACCAGCCTGTGTTTGCCAGGTGTGGCTGTGACTGGATGGTGCAGGAAACAGCGGGCAGGCAGTGAGGGCTGCTCCTTGTCCTCAGTCACACTGAAGGGCCTGGAGGACCAGCTGCTGAGTGTGCTGGTGGGTTTCGAGAGGCGTGAGCTGGAGGAACAGAGGGAGCACCTCATCCAAGAGACAAGTGAGAATAAGAACCTGCTGAAGGACCTGGAGGACTCGCTCCTGCGGGAGCTGGCCACATCCACAGGGAACATGCTGGACAACGTGGAGCTGGTGCAGACCCTGGAGGAGACCAAGTCCAAGGCCGTGGAGGTGGGTGCACCTTGGGAGCAGCACTGATGCCTTCTAGCTCCATGTCTGTGGTCTCAGGGGCTCACTCACAGCTGCCAGCTTCAGGGGCGAGGGCATCAAACTGGAGCTTTGAGTTGCCTTTTTCTTGCCAGACAAGAAAAGGTCACCTCTATCAGGGTGACCTTCTGGGGGCAGGGGCACTGCTATGCGACCCGCCAGCTTGCTTGAATTGAGAAGGATAGAAAACCTAACCCTGCCAGCTTTAAGTCAAAAGGGAAATTACTAGCTTAGAAAGCACAGAGGTGCAGACGGGGCTCAATCCAGTATCAAAAAGTACCATACAGAATCCCTATCTCTCCATTTCTGTGCCGGGCCTGTTCTGGGTTGGCTTCATCTTCTTCCAGCTTCAGCCTTAAAGGACATGGCCTGATGTCACTTCAGGTTCAAGTTCAAGGGCAATGTCCTAAGATCCTCAAAGTCACATGCCAGCTCTAAGCCAGTCCCAGAGTCATGGGGCTGCTGGGCTTGGCTTGGCTGGGTCTGTCTGCAGGTTCCTTCTCAATGTGGAATGATAGGAGGAGTGGGTCTCCAAGAGCAAGCTGGAGTATTCCCAGTGCATTCCTTGCCATGACTTGGGACCAAGACTTAAGCCATAGATCCACTACATCTTGCATGGGCTGGGCACCCTTAGCTTCCCAAAGGCCCTGGCTGTCAACTCCAGGGAGCATGGCGTGGTCTCTTTGTGGTCCCCCACATTCTACCCTCCACCGCCCCAGGTCTTCCAGGCTGCCTGTGTCATCACTTGCCTTTTCCAGGGTGACTGGTGTCTTTTCCCAGGTGTCAGAGAAGCTGAAGCTAGCAGAGAAGACAGCACTAGACATTGACAGGCTGCGGGATGGCTACCGGCCTGCCGCGCGCAGGGGTGCCATCCTCTTCTTTGTGCTGTCTGAGATGGCGCTAGTGAACACCATGTACCAGTACTCACTCATTGCCTTCCTGGATGTCTTTGGGCTGTCACTGAAGAAGTCGCTCCCTGACTCCATCCTCATGAAGCGACTGAGGAACATCATGGACACACTGACCTTCAACATTTACAACTATGGCTGCACAGGTGAGTGGGAAAGAGGGCAGTCAGCAGCAGTAGCATGCAGGCCGCTTACCTTATGGAGGGTTGTTGAGAGCGTCCACTTCCAAATTGCATCTGGAGTGAGAGGGATTCATGCACTGCAAATCCACCAACACTGAATGTCTTCCCAGCCTGAGCATATGTTTCGGGTTCTGGACTTATACAGTCCCTGGAATGAAATCTAGACCACATGCTAAATCTCTTAACTTTTGTAGGAACTGACCAACTGTTTTCCAAAATGACTATTATTTTTCAATCCCCAATGCACTGGTTTTAAAGAACTTCAGTCTGGACCATCCCAAACACATACAGAGGTGTGTGAGTATTTTGTATGTGGGTACCATATGGCTAGGACTCGCTCTGGCATTGTCTACACTATCTGCCCTCTTGGTCCATAGTGGACTCACCTGTCTGTAAACATTGCAGGTTAAATCTCTTAAGAGGGTCAGTGTGCTTTTCCTGTAAAGTGCTTAACAGTTACTTCAGGCTCTGAAAGTCCCATGTCTCTATCATAGCAACTTGGTTCTGCTGGTGAAGCAAACCCAGCAGTCGAGAGAGTAGCTCCTGTCCATTGTACATCATGGAGTGTGTGACTCCTGTTGATGAATCAGCTGCCAGGTGAATCACCCTTTTTACTTGGACAGCCATGGACATCAGGTGCAGAGGGACAAGTGTAGCCATTTAACAATTTTGGAATTTACTTGGTTTCCCTTGAGCTTCAGGATGGTGTGTTTTGAAGGTCCATTCATGTCTGCCTTTTCTCCACAGGGTTGTTTGAGAGGCACAAGCTCCTCTTTTCCTTTAATATGACCATCAAGATAGAGCAGGCTGAGGGGAGAGTCCCCCAGGAGGAGCTGGACTTCTTCCTCAAAGGTAGAAGGACTTTCTTTTTCCTTCCCAGCATCTGCATAGCCTGCATGGGACATGCTAGATCTGTTTACAACAAACACCACCAGCAGCAAAAATCCCTTTAGCCAGGTATGGTGGCACAGGCCTTTAATCCTGGCAGGCGGATCTCTGTAAGATTGAGGTCATCTTGGTCTACACAGTGAGTTCCAGACCAGCTGTGGCTACAGGGAGACCCTGTCTCAAAAAGACAAACAAAAACAAAACAAATAAAAAAATCTTTAAATGTGGCTTCCAAAGCCTGTGCTTCATCAAATACCCCCACAGAAAATACTAGCCTCAGAAGTGCTTCTAGCGTGGCAAAAGGAGCCAAGGCTAGAAGCCAGGCCAAGCTGCCTGGCCTGGGGGTCACTGGTGACAAGGAAAAGCCCATGCCTCCTTCCTCCTCCTTGGTAAATGGACCTCTCTCCAAAGCAAGAGCTGTGGAAGTATGACATGATATGCTGGGTGCAGGCAGTCCATGACTCATACCTTCTCTCTGTGGTTAGGAAACATTTCCCTGGAGAAGAGCAAACGGAAGAAACCCTGCACCTGGCTGTCTGACCAGGGTTGGGAGGACATCATTCTCTTATCAGAAGTGTTTTCAAATGACTTCGGAGACCTCCCTGATGACATTGAGTGTCATCTTCCCATCTGGCAGGAAGTGAGCATACTTTCTCTCTCCTTCCTGACATGCCAGCCATCTCCATGCTGAAACTGTGGCCTCCTACTTGCCAGGGAGATGCTCCCTGGAGAAAGCACTCCATGTGGTCAGCACCCTTGAGCTTCTGGATACAGTTCTCCTTCATCCAGACCAGCTAACTATGTGGAAGCCACCTGCTCCTCTATTCACCCATCATCTGCCATCCATCTACCCATCTGTTTGTCCATCTATCCATCCATTCATTCATCTACCTGTTCATCCATCCATCATCTACCCATACATTCATGTCAGTCTATCTATCCATCCAAATGGCCATATGTCTATCTCTCCATCTCTCCATCATGCTGGATATCCACTTATCCATCCATCCCTCTGTCACCTATCCACCTATCCATCCATTCATCTCTCCATCATCCATCCATATGTTCATTTATCTATACATCTTTCTGTCATCTGTATTATCCATCCATCCTTTTGTCCATTGTCCATCTCACCCATCCTTCTATCTTTCATCCATCTCTCTATCACCTATCTACCTGTCTATTCATCCATTTTCTATGATCTGTCTACCTACCCAGCAATCCATTTATCCATCTGTCCACTTATCTGTTCACCTGCCCATCATCTACCTATCCATCAGTCTATCCATGCTATCTATCCATCCATCTTCCCATATATCCATCATCCATCCATCTGTCTGTTATCCATATGTCCATTACCCATCCATCTATCCATTCATCTGTCCATTGTCCACCTGTCCTCTACCCATCCATCTGTCTGTGTATCTATCCATCCATCCATCTCTCCATCACCCATCTACCTGTCCATCCCCCATCTCTCCATTACCCATCCTGTCAATCCATCCATCTTTCCAAGAAGTCCTTACTGGGTACCCTGGCTGGGTACTATAGACTCCACAGTGATGGAGACTCAGTTCTTCCCTTTCTGAAGTTCATAGTTTTGGGTGTCCACAGTGGCCTCTCTGGATCAGAAGTTCACACAGATTCCCTCTACCTTGGAAACCATAGCCTGAGCAGATGCCATAGTAAGCATTCTTTGTTTCTCCCAGTGGTATAACCTGGATTTCCTAGAGCAGTTTCCATTTCCCCTGGGCTACGATGAAAACATCACTGCTTTTCAGAAGTTGCTTATTTTGCGTTGTTTCCGAGTGGACCGAGTATACCGGGCGGTGACTGATTATGTGACCCTCACCATGGGAGAGAAGTAAGTGTGTGCTTTGTTCCTGTGTGGTGGGCTAAGGCCATCTCCCACCAGACTCACAGGAAACAGGGCTGGTCCACTTCAAAGGACTGTCCTGGTCCTGTGTGTGAGGAGCTCATGACATCTACTCTAGAACAGGAGTGCTACAGACAAACACCAGGGGCCACATGGGCCAGGTCAGATTTTACAATAACCACACCAGGGCAGAAGAAGAAATATAATATTCTAAGTCATTAACTTAATGTTTGTGTGTGTTCATGTATATACAGGTACATGTATGTGGGTGGGTGTGCACCTATGTGTGTATATACTTTGAGACCACAGGTCAACCTGGAATGCATTCCTCAGGTACTATCCACTTTGTTTTTCAAACAGGGTCTCTCACTGGGACCTGGGGTGCACCTAGATTAGACCAGGCTGGCTGGTCATTGAGTCCCAGGGATCTGCATGCCTTTGCCTCCTCAGCACTGGGATTCCAAGCACTCACCATCATACCCAGCTTTTTATGTGGGGATCAAATTCAAATCCTCATGTTTTCATGGCAAGCATTTTACCAATTGAGCTATCTTCCCAGTCCCTTAATTTTACTAGCATTTTTTTTTTTCGTTCTTTTTGAGACAGGGTCTCCTTGAAGCCCCAGTTGTCCTGGAATTCACTATGTAGACCAGGCTGGCCTTGAGCTTACAGAGATCCGCCAGTCTTTGCCTCCCGAGTGCTGGGATTAAAGGCATGCGCCACCATGCCTGGCTTAGCATTTTTATTTAATAGAATGCATTAAAGTATTATCACTTCACATAATTAGTATCAATATTATGAGATATTTTACGGGCTTATTTGGTATTCAGTCTTCAAAGTCTTGGGTGAGTTTGTACTCATATCATATTTCAGCAGACACAGTCCAATAATTGTGTGTGCCTGGTGGCTGCCATATTGGCTAACACAGATGTGGCACTGAGCCAAGCAGGTAATGTATCGTTGTAAACTCAAATGTGCCTTCATCAGCAAGCTGTGGATGTGAGGGAAAGGATCTGGGAGGGAGGGGCACAATGGCAAAATGGAGAGTCAAATCCTGTTTCTGGGGCAGACCCCTGAGCTACTGCCCACTGAGAGCAGGTGACAGTGGCTACCCTGAGTGGCTTGATCCTCTACCCTTTTGGAAGGAGCTAGAAATTCAGGTTTTAAAATGTGAAATCTCCTACTCTTTACGCATAGGTAGTAGTCATAGTCTGTTTTGTATTGCTACAACTAAATACCTGATGCTGGGTAATGCATAAAGAAAAGAGGTTTTTCTGGTTCATGATTCTGATGGCTAGAAAGTCCAAACAGTATGGCCCCAGCTTTGGGTGAGGGCCCATCACAACTTGGTAGAAAAAGAAACAGCCACATGCAGAAGGGCCCACACAAATGGGGAGTCTTACTTTATAACTACCTGATCATGTGAGAAGTAACCTGGTTCTGTGAGAAGTACATTAATCCCTTCCAAGGATAGTGCCCCATGATCTGCTTCCAGCAGGCTCCACCCTTTAAATGCCCACTACCGCTTGGCACTATCACACTGGGGCTCACGTATCTAGCACATGTGTTTGGTTGACAAATTATATCAAATTATGGCAAGGACTAGTTTAAAGAAATATTTTATCTATTATTTTTATTTTATTTGTATGAGTGTATTGCCTTCATGTATGTAAGTGTAACCATGTCATGCAATGCCCAGAGGTCAGAAGAGAGCATCAGATTCCCTGGAACTAGACTTAGGATGGTTGTTAGATACATGTAGGTGCTAGGAACCTAGGTCTTCTGCAAGAGCAGCCAGTGCTCTTAATTGCTGAGCCATCTCTCTAGCCCTGGGACTATTTTTTTTTAAAGTTAAATAGCAACAAAAAAACAAAGAAACAAATAAAATAAAAAAACAAACCCCAAAGAAAGGGGCTATGTGGGACATGCCCGTGGAGTTGATGTGTAATTTCTGGGTGTGTGCCAGAGGCCTGTCTACATGGAGGGCAGGTCAAAGCACCCAACGCAGCAATAAACTATTGAACTGAACCCAACAGGTACAGATGAGCTAGGGGGAGCCAGGGAGGTCCCCACCAAGCAGGAGGGCATCACCAGGCGTGAAGGTGGGTGTGGGTGTGTAACTGGATTCTCAGACCAGGATAAATGTGTGAAGAGTGCATGAGAGCCCTAGTGAGAAGGTCGTAGATACCAAGGATGAGGCAGTGCTGATGAGATGGGTGGCCTTGGCCTGGGGCTGACCTCTGGGTTTTTCTTATATTCTTCCTTTTTTCCAGGTATGTGCAGCCCCCAATGATCAGCTTCGAGAACATTTTTGAGCAGAGCACCCCCACATCGCCCATTGTGTTCATCCTGAGTCCTGGCTCTGACCCTGCCAGTGACCTCATGAAGCTGGCTGAACGGAGTGGCTTTGGAGGAACTCGCCTCAAGTTCCTTGCGATGGGTCAAGGTCAAGAAAAGGTAACCATGGGAGGGATGAGAGCTGGGTCTAGGAGTTCTCTGGGTAGAGCTAAGAGCCCCACTCCCTGGTGAGTGGCAGGGTCATGTTGGAAGCCAGACACTGATGGCATAACTGTGGTCTCATCCTGGAGTGACTGCTGAGCTCTGCTGTTTTCAGAGCCTTCTGTCACACAGTCATATGACCCTTGGTCCCAGCCACAGCCCTGTGTAAGCATTTAAATTTTGTTGATTTTATGTATGAGTGTTTTGCCTTCATGTATATAAGTGCATCACATGTGTGTGATACCCATGGAGGCTAGAAGAGGGTGTCAGATCTCCTAGAACTGGAGTTATGATGGTTGTTAGTTGCCATGTGGGTGATGGGAACTGAACCTGGGTCTTCTGGAAGAGCGAGCATCCAGTGCTCTTTTTAAAAAAATATTATTTTAATTTTATGTGTATGTATGTATTGCCTGCATGCATGTGAGTGCACCTGTGTTGTGCAATGCCACGGAGGTCAGAAGAGGGCTTCAGATTCCCCTGGAACTGGAGTTAAGGATGGCCTGCAGCCGCCATGTGGGTGCTGGGACTTGAACCTGGGACCTCTGCAAGAACAGTCCGTGCTCTCAACCCCTGAGCCCTCTCTCCAGCCCCCAGCCAGTGCTCTTAATTGCTGAGCCATGTCTCCAGCCCCTGGCTCAGCATTCTTATGCTCCTGGAGCGTGGTCTAGGAATCAGAGAGGCGAAGCCCAGGGCCTCTGTGGCAGCCCTGAAGAGGCTGCCTGCAGAGTACCCAGGGAAATCCAGGGTTACAGGGAACCAAACAGGAGTACTGACTTTGTTATAGGGTGTCTGTGAGACTCTGGGAAACACTGCCTCCAGCCCAGGTGGTAACAGTGGTGCTAGATGAACAGGGTGCCCCTGACTCTCTCTAGCCCCCAGCCTGGAGGAAGTTATTTCCATGGCAGTGCTCATGCAGATGTAAAATCCTCTGGAAACCAAGATATCATCTGAGGGGGAGGCCTCTTCCCTCTGCAGTGTGCTTGGGAAAGGCCCACAGGCCAGCCTCCATGCTTCTGGCCCTCTGTGTCTGGATCGGTAGGACCAGCTCCTGCTTCCTGGAGGGATGCGCAGGACTCTTGCAGGCCTGGTCCAGAGCAGTGTGGGTGTAGTGTGACTGCGTGAGGCAAGTTGGAGCTCTCCAGGCTATGGAGGCTGAGAAGGAACAAGGCTCACTTCCAAGTCATGGCTGTCCCTGAGGGCACAGGTGGCTTGAAAGATGTCTCTGGGTGTCTTCTCAAAGGCTGTCACTGCAGTGGCTGGTTCCCTGGCTCATTCTGCCCCTGCAGTGGGCCAAACCTTGTCCTTGGGCAAAGCATAGTGTTGGCAAGGCTTTGGAATGCTAGTCCTCCCCTCCATCCTCTTGCAGGTGGCACTGCAGCTGCTGGAGACAGCAGTGGCTCGTGGGCAGTGGCTGATGCTTCAGAACTGCCACCTCCTGGTCAAGTGGCTGAAGGACCTAGAGAAGTCCTTGGAGAGGATCTCCAAGCCACATCCTGACTTCCGCCTATGGCTCACCACCGACCCCACCAAAGGCTTTCCCATTGGAATCCTGCAGAAGTCCTTAAAGGTTTGGCTTTTGGATTGACATGCCCATAGCCCTGTTCCTGATTGCTGCTGAGGGGGTAGAAAGTAGCTTAGAGGGAAGCAGATGCCTTATGCACCTCATCCCCTCTCTTCAGAAGGAATGGTTGTAGAACTTGGGTGTGTGGGACGCCTAGGCCTCCCACCCCAACTAGAGATGTGCTACGGGGATGGCAGGGGTCAGGCTCCTGGGACAGGTCTGCTCTGCCGTCTGCAGGTTGTCACAGAGCCACCCAATGGGCTCAAGCTGAACATGCGGGCCACCTACTTCAAGATCTCTCAGAAAATGCTGGAGCAATGTCCCCACACTGCCTTCAAGTCCCTGGTCTACGTGCTGGCCTTCTTCCATGCTGTGGTACAGGAGAGAAGGAAGTTTGGGAAGATCGGCTGGAATGTGTACTACGACTTCAATGAGTCTGACTTCCAGGTGAGCAGGGGACTCTTCCCTAGCTGGCGTGGCCCAAGCTACCTCCCTTCCAAGTTCACTGACAGCAAGCTGTTGTAGCCCATGTTTTGAAGAGTTGGGCTGGGTATGATCATTGCCCACACCTGTTTCTCCTGCCTAAGGTCTGCATGGAAATCCTGAACACATATCTGACAAAAGCCTTCCAGCAGCAAGACCCGCGCATCCCATGGGGTAGCCTCAAGTACCTGATCGGAGAGGTAGCAGGGCCAGGGTGCGACCTAGGGCTGGGGTAGCCATGGTTTCTGTCCTCTGAGTCCTCAGGGCAATTCCTTCTGGCTCCTGCCCCTCTGTGGCCTCTATAGGATCCCTGATATACTCCTGGCTCCCCCACCCTTCTTTCTAGGCTCAGGGATCTATGGCCTGGTCCAGCTGGGCTCCCTCTGAGTAGAAGCAGTTCCCAGTTCACCATGTGCTGGGAACACAGAAGGAGGCTTGATGTATTTTTAGGGCACAGGGGTCACAGTTCTAGCAGAACTCTTGGGGAAGCTTCTTGATTTGGGGGATTCTGCACAGACTGGTTGCTATCATCTGGGTTCCTGTCTGTCTGTCTGTCTGATGCATTTGGGGGTGGGGTTCCAGTTGCCTACTGGCCCCTGAGGACTCACACTTTGGATCTATCTGTCCTTGAGAAGTCAGAGGCCACAATGTGATCTTGTAGACCAGTCCCTTGTCTACTTGGTCTAAAAGATTGACTAGCTGGGTTGGAGTTGGCCAGTGGTGAGGGCTGGAGCTGCAGATTGTGGGGTGGGTTCTGGGTCCCCATTGGCTCTCACTTCCTCTGGCTTCAGGTGATGTATGGAGGCCGGGCCATCGATAGCTTTGACCGCCGCATCCTCACCACCTACATGGATGAGTACCTAGGAGACTTCATTTTTGATACTTTCCAGCCATTCCACTTCTTCTGGAACAAAGAAGTGGATTATAAAATCCCTGTGGGTGACGTGAAGGATAAATTTGTTGGTGAGATTTCCCAGGCATTATGAAAAGGTTTTTTTTTTTTTTTTAAAAAAACTTTATTATTTTTATTTTAAGTGTATAAGTGTATTGCCTGCATGTATATAGGTGCAACTGTGTTGTGCAATGCCTACGGAGGTCAGAAGGCATCAGGTTCCCCTGGCATAAGAGTTACACGCAGTTGCTAGCTTCCGTGTGGGGCTGGGTCCTCTGCAAGAGCAGCCGGTGCTCTTAACTGCTGAGCCATCTCTCCAGCTCTTGATAGGGTTTTTTTTAAGACCACAGATTTCACCTGTTTTGTTTTCTGCAGTTGACTCCAAAGCTCTTTGCACCCTCTCCTGATGGGACTCTCGGGCTGGTCATGCAAGACTGCCCAGTGGGTTCTTCCTCTCCTCAGAGCTGCTTGTCAGCTCAGATTGCCCACTCTAGAACCACAGTTAATATAACACATTCCACCTGGAAGGGTATCGTGGCTGGAGGACGCTGAGTCATCTGCATAAAAGATACCACGTAGCTGGATGGGCGAGGTGGCGTGGGGCTTTTATTTAAAAACAGGGGGACCCATTTCTTTTATGGAAGGGGCTGGGAGATGGAGGTCCTTAGGAACAGAGCGTGGCCCAACAGTGCAACCTGTTTGTTCTCTGTGATTCTAGAAGCCATTGAGGCCCTCCCACTTGCCAACACACCAGAAGTGTTTGGTCTTCACTCCAACGCTGAGATTGGCTATTACACACAGGCGGCCCGAGATATGTGGGACCACCTGCTGGAGCTGCAGCCTCAGACTGGTACAGCCACCATGGGCTCCTTAGCTGGGGCAAGGGCAGAGGGTGCTCGAGTGCTGCTGGTGGGTGCTTGTAGCTTTCCTAAGAACTAGGAGGCTTGCAAAGCCTATCCCCAACCACCCAGCTGCCTTGCAGTCCCTAAAAGTGTCATCCTTTCAGGGGAATCCAGCAGTGGCATCAGCCGTGATGATTATCTCAGTCAGGTGGCCAAGGACATAGAGAACAAAATGCCCAAGATCTTTGATCTGGACCAGGTTCAGAAGCACCTGGGTGTGAACATCTCCCCCACCTCAGTGGTGCTTCTCCAGGAGTTGCAGCGCTTCAACAAGCTGGCAATTCGCATGACCAGGTCTCTGGCTGAGCTCCAGAGGGTGAGTGTGGAGCCACAGGCAAGGTGCTGCCTGGAGGGAGACCCTGGCTTTCCAGTCCTGCCAAGGCTTCTGATTCTGTCAACAGGCGTTGGCTGGGGAAGTGGGGATGAGCAATGAGTTAGACGACGTAGCCAGGTCTCTCTTCCTCGGGCACATTCCTAACATCTGGAGGAAGCTTGCCCCTGACACCCTGAAGACCCTTGGAAACTGGATGGTCCACTTCCTGCGGCGGTTCAACCAGTACACAATGTGGGTGAGTGCAGGCAGTGGCTCTGCTTTGTCTCCCTAACCTGTACCTCTGTTGAGAGTGTAGGCCTGCCTTTGCACTACTGCCTTGCTGTGCATACATGCAATGATTTTTATCTTGGCAACTGTTCTGTAACCATACACTTTAAGTCTTCTAGCTCATTCATTTAGGGTCCTTATCTTTCCTCATAGCAGTGGACATTTAGGTGGCTACTATATATACTTGTTGCTACAAAGTGCTGTGGGCACATGTCTGTGAGCGCAGTGTTGAGTACATGCTGTGAGTCTGAAGGCATGTGTGTACTTTTAGTACTCGTTTGTTTAAAAAAATTTTTTTTTGTTGTTGTTTTTTGTTTTTGGTCTTTTTTAGCCTTGAAAATCTCATTCAATTTTATGTCTTACAGGGCTTATACTGAGTTCAATATTGTATAACTGTATTAATTCAACAGCAAACCTAAAAAAAATTGTTTTTGGTCTTTGTGAGACAGGATCTCCCTGTAGCCCCAGATGTCCTAGAACTCACTATGTAGACCATGTTGGCCTTGAACTCACAGAGATCCGCCTGCCTCTGCCTCCCGAGTGCTGGGATTAAAGGCGTGTGCCACCACGCCCAGCCTGTTCTGCATTTTTAATGAAGGTGAGGCAGAATGTTTCATGCTTAAAGACATTTTGTGTTTTCTGTGAACTGTCTTTTGACTGTCTTTTGTGGCCCTGTTTCATTTGTGATGGGGGACTCCATCTTTTTACATTGATTTTTTAAAAAAATGTATATGTATGATGTATGGTGTATAGTGTGTATTTATGTATATGCATATTTGTGCCCGTGCATGTGAGAGAGACAGAGAGAGGTGTACAAAAATACCACATGCCACAGTCAAGTGCATGTGTGGAGGTCGGAGGTTAGCTTTCAGGAGCTGATCCTTGCCTTTCTCCTTGTGAGAGTTTCTTGCTCACCACTGCATTCAGGGCTACTTGGCTCCTAAACTGCTGGGGATTCTCTTATCTCTATCTCCCATCTTGCTGCCACTTCTCAGGAACCTTGTTTGTTGAGACCAAGTTTCTCAGAGACCTGGGGCTCATTGATTTGGCTAGGCTGGCTGGCAGGGAGACCCAGAGATCCATTTGTTTCTACCTCCTCAGTGCTGGGATTACAGAGTGACAGTTTTATGTGGATTCTGGGGATCAAACTCAGGTCCTCATACTTGTGTGGCAAGCACTTTACTGAGTGAGCCATTGTTAAATCTCTGGTCCACCTGGAGTTTGGCACTCAGCTTGTTTTCCCCACGGATGGCTAATGACCACAGACCATTTATTATCAAGGTGAATCAGGTCTTTTATTAGCTTTGAACCTGGCATTTGGTAGCAGCTCTGGCTCCCACTACTGCCTGGCCTTCCCCCAGGTCACAGAGAGCGAACCCAGTGTGATGTGGCTCTCAGGGCTGCACATTCCAGAGTCCTACCTCATGGCCCTGGTACAGGCCACCTGCCGGAAGAATGGATGGCCACTGGACCGATCCACCTTGTTCACACAAGTGACCAAGTTCCAAGATGCTGATGAAGTAAATGAGCGTGCAGGGCAAGGTACAGTGAGTGTGTCATGGATCCTTGGCCTCCATTTGGGATTTCTCTTCCAGAGCCACCCCCAACTCAAAAGGATAGGCATTGTATAGACTGGCCCACACTTAAGCCATGCTGTTTGTGACATCTGAGGGCAGAGTTTCTCTTTGGAGACTATCTGGAGAGCTGGGGGTCAATGGCAAGGAGGCCTGATCATGTTCACCTTGCTAGTTTTTAGCAAATGGGCTCCCAAGTCAAGTTAGCTCCTTAAAAGAGGGCATTGGGCAGCATCCCTGTAAATCTTAAGGGCCCAGAAGGTGGGAGCCAGAGAGCACATGGACTAGCTGGCCTGGAGCCTCTAGCAGGCATGTCCAAACTTTTGACAGTGTGACACAACACTGTCACCTACAAAGTTCCCAACTGAGAACTGTACTATCAGGTTACAAAAACAAAGCCACCACTACCATGAAAATTCTCCTGTCTTTAAGTTTGTGATTTTGTGTTGGACTGTTCATCTCTCTTTGCCTCTATGTGGCCTGTGATGCACCGATTTCAGTCCCTCCCTTGGTGCCCTTATGCAGAGGCTAACTGGAAACTCAGTTTTCCTAGGCCATATGCCTTGGGTAGACGCTATTTAACTGGAAAGAACAGATGCCCTTTTATGCCAGTTTAAGGAAAGTAGATTAGTGGGCAAATCTCAAGGGCCTGCTGGCAAGCATCCTTCTGCCACCTTCCATGGGGCAAATGATTTTGTCCTTTGGGTCTCTGCATGCCAGAGAGACCATGCTCCCTGAGGCCTTCCCTGTTGATTCAGAGGATGCTGTGTGCTGTGTGCCAGCTGAGCTGTATACCCTGAAGCCAGGGTCCTGAGGGAGAGGTGCCTGCCTGAACCTGCTCCTATGGAGCCCTGTATCCTGTCTAGCTGTTCCTTTATTCAGGGGAGCTGGGAAGAATGGAAATGGTGAAGGACCTGGGGTGGGAGGGCCACTCAGGGGCCTTTGTATTTGTCCTATGTGCACACTGGTGAGAGCAGCCTCACAGCAGGACACAGGTGCCTCCTCCTGTCACCCCCAGGGTGCTTTGTCTCAGGACTATACCTGGAGGGCGCCGACTGGGACATAGAGAAAGGGTGTCTTATCAAGAGCAAGCCCAAGGTGCTGGTTGTGGACTTGCCCATCCTGAAGATCATGCCCACAGAAGCCCACCGCCTGAAGCTGCAGGTGATGACCATATCCCTGACCCTTACCGTTGCCCTTCCCTTCTACCCTCAGGAGGGCATATGGGGTGTTTTCCACAGTTGTGCCTTTTAAAATGGGGTGCTGGACCTCTATGGGCTGGGACCAGTTCCAGGAAAGTACCTGAGTACACACAAATACTTGAATGCCCATCCACAGGGATCAGGTTCAAGTTCAGACCCCATGATAGAAACCCAGGGGAGACCTTGTGAAATTCTGGGTACACTGCATGAGTCACAAAGTGGCTCCATGCAGTGCAGACAGCAAGCACCCTCTACTTTGCCCTGGCTGGGATTCACATTTAATGAGCTGTCTCTGTGGACTTGGTAGAGTGCAACCCTGCCATGCTGTACATGCATGGTGTTCAGACTCAGCTCCAGCACCACTGAGTGCTAACTGCTCAGAATGAGACCCTCAGTCAGTCATAAGCTGCCACTTCCAATTCTGCAGGCACTTTACCTGCCTCTCCCTTACAGAACACCTTCCGGACCCCTGTCTATACCACGTCTATGAGGAGGAATGCCATGGGAGTCGGCTTGGTGTTTGAAGCTGACCTCTTTACCACGAGGCACATCTCTCATTGGGTGCTGCAGGGGGTGTGCCTCACCCTCAGCTCCGACTAACCCTAAAGTACAAGAGGCGTGCATGAAGCTATCATGCCTATGGCAGGCCACAGAAGCACTGGTGCTTCATGAAGAATGGGAGACTGTTTCAGGGTGTCTCTTCAGAGGTAGGGGTGGGGGGGGGTGATGGGGATGGGCATATGAAAGGTGTTTTTCACTGATCTTCCTTGCATTTGAAATAAGCCATTTAAATGCACTCTTTCCATTAAATAATGTTTTGCTGGTTGTGTGTGTGTGTGTGTATGAGGGCAAATTTCTGAGGTTGCATGTAATGTGCTTATGGAAGCCAGAGGTCAATCTCATGTGTTGTTCTTTCCTCAGGATAAGCCATCTTATGTGTATGTGTGTCTGCCTGAGTTTATGTGCACCATGTCTGTAATACCCACAGAGGCCAGAAGAGGGCACAAGATAACCTAGAACTGGAGTTAAGGTGGTTTTGTGTTGCCAAGAAGGTGCTGGGACTAAGCCTGGGTCCTCTGCAAGAGCAGCAAGTGCTCTTAGCAACTGCTAAGCCACCCTCACCTTCCTGGCAAGCCCTGGCACCGGAGCAATGGCTTCCCACCTCTGACTTTGTTCTAGCAGACACCCCTTTCTGGCAAGAGTTGAGGTTTCTGGGGGCAGGCTGGGGTTGGAGGCAGGGTCTCCATCTCTGTCCCCTGCAGAAATCTCTGGCCTTACATCTCCCACTCTGACCTTTTGGGGCAGGGCCACTGTTGAGCTTAAAAGCTCCAGTGCTCCTCCCTCCCATTGGTCCCCCAGGGCCTGTGTATAATTGGGTCTAAACTCAGCTGGGTGGGGGCAGGGAGGCAGGACAAATGGCGAATACAGCTTCTGCCAAATCTTAGGAACACGAAAGATCTATGCAGTAGCCATCACCACCATCACCGACCCTATTACCCCACAGGAAAAATGAAAGACGCAGGAGCAGGAGGGCGGGTTTAGAAAATAACATTTGTTGGGATCTTGAACATTTTGGATAAAAAAAAAAAAATGAACACACATTCGGGTTGAGGTGATGTGGAGAGTGAGGTCATCTTGCTTAGATCCTATGACACACAGCTGCTTGTGACTGTCTGTTGGGGGAGGGAGTCTCTAGGAGGAGCCAGGGGGCTGCTCAGTCGGCTGCCCTGCAAACAGGGGAGAGGCAGGTCCTGAAGTTGCTCTGGCTTCGGGCGGTGGCTATCTGACTGAGTGTGCCCTAGTAATGCGGACGAGGCCTTGTCCACAAGTGCGCCGAGATCTCATGTCATGGGGCTAGAAGCAAGCTATTGGCATGCAGGTATCAGCCACAGTGCCAGTGGGGACACCATTGTAGTGGTGTCACTATTGGATGAGAGGCGAGCCAGGCATTGCATGGGTCTGGAAACATTTGGCATGGCGGACTGAGGAAGGCATGGGCGAGGTTCCCTGTGGCGCTCACAGTGCATGGACAGCTGTGGGGGATGGCCGCAGCTTCACACAGTTCTGTCTGTCCCTGAGTGCTTCCGTACCACTTTCCCTGTGGTCACCTGGTCCACTGCCCGGGTCTCCCCCTCAGGTTGAGCCTGTGACATGCTGGCATGGTGGATGCGATGGGCCACCCCAACATGGGTCTTGTGTGGCTTATCTCGGGCAGGGCTGTGCTGCCCACTGGCGCCACGATCTGAAGCGATGGGTGGGATGACAAGTGGCCGCTCTTTGAGCTGGACCTCAGTGGACTCCCGAGCCAGCAGGAATGGGGTGGGGTCGGGCATTGCATCCACTGGCTCTCGCAGGAGGAGTTTTCGGCTCTCAGCTCCAAACCTATAGACCTCCTCGAACTCAGGGTGCAGTGGGGCTGACAGGCTCTTCTTCATGCGGCGGCGGGGTGTCTCTGGCAGCTTGTCCTTGGGGGGTGTGGGCTTATAGCTAGCCAGCCCCGGGCTGCCAGCTGGGCTGGCGTCCGAGGTGCCACTAGAACTCAGCAGTTTCTTCTTGGCGGCATGCAGCTGTGAGGTGAGGTAGGCCACGGTGCTGGCACGCTGCTCCAGCTCCCCTGACAGCATGCTCAGCTTGTGACTCTTCACCTTCAGCTCCTCCAGGTACTTCTTCTCCCTCTCTCGGACGGTGTTCTCCAGCACGGCAATGGCCGCGTTCTTCTGCTCCAGTTCTTGCAACAGTTTGAGGTTTTCCTCCTCCTTGGCCTTCAGCTGGGCCTCTAATTCTTCACAGCGTCTCTTCAGCTCCACATTTCTGGAAGAGCTGTCTCCTATGGGAACAAGCCAGGAGCCAGGTCAGAGCCCAGCAGAGGAGGACGAGGTACTCGGCCTGCATAGCAGGTGCCCTGGCAAGGAGCCCTGGCAGGAGGGGTACAGGATGGCCTGCAGGCCCTGCCCCAATAAAGGTGGGTCAGGGGGTCTCTGAGGCCCCTCCCGGCTCCTGGTTCCCTGGCTTACTGCACATAAGAATGTCTCCAGAATCTGAAGATGCTGAAGTTAAAATACCTTGAGCGTCAGCTGGAGGGAGTGTCTCTGGAGTGCCAGCTTTACAAATGAAGGGTGTCAGACAGGTCCCTCAGGTCTAGAACCTACTCTTCTTCCACCTTTACTCTCCCAGCTGCCCAAGTCTAGAACTTTCCCTCTCTGCTCCTTTTGGTGCTCATTGGAAGCCCACTCTCTTCTCCGATCTTCCTAGCCCTGCTTCCCCCAGGGCCCCACCAAATTCCCAGGCTTCCTTTAGTCCACCCTGCTTCCTCTCTTCTCCCTGGTCAACAACAGGTGCTTGTGGCTTAACTGCCAGTCCGCTGGCTACTTCTCTGTCCCTTGCCTTCGGCACCCACATGAACCCTGAGCTATCCCTGCCTTCTCACTTCTTCCACTTGGTCTATCTGGAATTGTGATGGCCATGATTACTCTATCTCCAGATTTGTGCACCCAATATCCATAGGCAACCCTGTAGGGTCTGTAGGGCACCAGACATATGCTGCACACCTCCCATGAGTCTTGTGACCCCCCCACCCACAAATCTGGTTTGTCTGTCTGGGCACTCCTCATGTACATGAGCCAGCAGCTACAGTAGACTCTGAGCTACTAAAGGCCCTATGGGAATGTGTGCATATGTGTACATGTGTATGTGTGAGAGAGAAAGAGAGAATATTTATGAGAACGAATCAGCAAATAGCCTTCCCTAGAAATATGAATTCCATGAGTCTTTTGTGTTTTTGGCCAAGGAGAAAAAGAACACTAGATGATTATTATTATTGTATTATTATTAAATGCAGAACAGGGCTGCAATACAGAAGTCAAACTTGGCACCCACTCCTCTCCCTGAAATATCTTCAGGTGGCTCCAGCCTCCTATCCTGGGTCCTCTTGGCCTCACCCACAGCATGGTAGGCCTCAGCCTTCTTCCCGGTTAGGCCTATGACCTCAAGCCTTTGATTTAGCCCAGCCAGACATAAACACACTGGGATCTATGTCCCTATAGAGTGCTACCAAGAGCTGACAGATGCTGGGACATTAAAGCAGACTCCCTTGGTGATGATGAAGGGCATGATCCTTACCCACTATAGGCTCAGCAACGTCATAGACTTTGCCAGAGATACAAAGCCTGATCCCAGCGGAGCTCCAGGGTTCCCTCACTGCTCTTTTGGCATCCCATCTCAGAGAGGCTGGTCTAGGCAGACCTTGTCCTTCCCTGAAAATGACCTAGCTACCCTGCTGTCTGTTTGCAGGGCACCTTTGGCTTTGACCTGATGTGTGCTACTAGGGGGCTGGTGCTAATCCTCTGTATCCATCCTCTCTAGAAACTTTCCTTGTCTAATCCAAGGTCCTCTGCTCTCCATAAAAGGTGTATACCAACTGCTCTTACCACTAAGACAGAACTGCCTGAGCCTGGGCATGCCATTGGGCACTTAGGTGTGCAGATTCCCAGGCCCTTCCCAGCCTTGAGCATCATGGCCTGCAGGGGAGAGAATCCAGGATCCTTTCTGACCCGCCTTCTGAGCTTCTTAGATGTGGCATGTTTGGGGTGCAATGAAATGAGCATTGGTTTCACCCAGGAGAGGGGACAGGCCCCGACCAGATCCCCTTACTAGATCTGCCTTGGGGCTTTTCAAACTGCCCTTTTCTGCTGAGGCAGTACCTCACATACCTTTGCCAAGAACTGTGTGCTGCTGAGAAGGTGTTCTGAAGGGATGATTAAGGGGTTAGAAATGAAGGTTTATGAACAGATTAGCCTAGACCAAGAGGAGGTAGCACAAGGATACCCTGACTCCTTCCCTTCACAGTGTGTTGGGGGTGGGGGGAGGCAGAGACACAGATTGCAATCCTCTCCTGAGTTCCTGTAGCTCAGGTCCTGGTCTAGGTTTGGATGTCCTTGCTCTATGGGGACTCTGGAGGGCAGGACCCTGCTCTAAGGCCCAGGCAACCTGATGGCACATTCTGTATATAACATACTCAGACAAAACCATCAGAGAACTCGAGTTCTCAGACAGATGGGAACATGTAATAGACATGGGAAAGTCCTTGCTTAGCAGGATGCTGAGGCTCAGCCGAGTGGTCTGCAGCTTTGACAAGGACTGGACTCTTAGGAGAGTGAACTGCCTTTGTGAAGCCTAGAGAGGCAAAGGGTTTTACCCAGATGTAGGTTCTGTGCCTTTAGTTCCACCCTGTGCTAAGAGCCCCTGGAAGGTCCTGTTTCTGTCACTTCACATCCCCGGGGTCCCTGAGGATTCTGGCTCAAAGTATTTCTAGACTGTAGCCCAGAGAAAGATGGTTCTTGATCTTCTGGGGCCACCAGCTGTAGGACCACTGCCCCCTCCCCCCCAGATCTCTCTCTGGGCAAAGTCTGTGCTAGGGTTTGGGGATCCAGGGGAGCTGGGGCCTTCTGTCCAGTTTGCCACCTTTTCTTCCTTTCTGGGTTGAGTCACATTGAGGTTTATTTCCTGGTTACAGATGATGTATATTCATGGTTGAAAAGTCAGAAAAGCATGTAACAGACACTCTAAACCCATTTATTGCCCCGCCAGCAGGAGGCTGAGGGTTCTAACCACACTTGGCCCAACCACTATCACTACACTCGTGGCCAGTGGGAATGAATGGTGCAGGTATGCATTACAAAAAAAAAAAAAACCCAGAATGGGGGGGGAGCAAGCCTTTAATCCCAGTACTTGGGAGGCAGGGACAGGCGGATCCTCTGTGAGTTTGAGGCCAGCCTGGTCTATAGAGTGAGTTCCAGGCAGCTAGAGCTACAGACCCTGTCTCAAAAAAACCAAAAAAAAAAAAAAAAGCAAAAGAAAAAACAAAAAAACCCAGAATGTTGCCGGGTGTGGTGGCACACACCTGTAGTTCCAGCACTTGGGAGGCAGAGGCAGGCGGATCTCTGTGAGGTCAAAGCCAGCCTGGTCTACACAGTGAGTTCCAGGACAGCTCGGGCTATAGGGAGACCCTGTCTCAAAAAGACCAAAAACAAAAAAACAAAACAGAATGCTACCAGCACTTGGGGAGGGTTTCTTACCTGTCAGTTCGAAACCTTTGAGTGTCAGCTCGTATGTTAAATCTACAAAGAAAATTTGATACATTAATTTGTCATGGCCTAACTCATGCCAGTTCTGAAAACAACACTGGATCCCATGATTATCTGTGAGATCTGCCCAGAGGGAGTGGCGCTAGCAGCTTCAGGAAAGGTTCTTATGAGAACCACAAACCCCCCTCTTCCCCCAGGCCCCAAGATTTCCTTTCCTTATCCTCCCCAAACACACCCCAATAGTACAAAATAGGCAAGCAGCTTGCTCCATACATTGCACTGACTATGCTTTTTAATTTGTTCCAAAAGGCGCTGCAAATTCCAGCATGGTGCCTGAGTGTTTTAAGTCCCAGTATTCTAGGGCAAGGCTTACAGCTGCATGCTCAGTGCTTCCATGGTGCAGCAAGGAGGGGTATGACACCTGTAGTGGTGCGGGTAATGAAGGGGTTAAGTTCATTATCCCACCAGCGTGAGAAGTAGGCCTGGCTCAGGCTGCAGCTCTCACTCACCTGTGCAGTGCTGCTGTAGTCGCCGGATCTCAGCATGCAGCCCCTTGAGTGTGCTGGCATGCTCACGCTGAAGGAACAGAAGGTTCTTCTGTGCACTATGCAGCTGGTTCTCCAGGTTTGTGGCTGCCATGCTGACATCCAGGTGACCTGTGGGAAACAGATGCTGGTCACTCTCTCTAGCAGAAAGTCCTGAGCAGAAAGTGGGGTTCTGAGCACATGTCATGGAGACCCTGTGTTGAAGTAGGAGGTGAGGCCTAACTGCCATGCAGGGAGGCCCAGGTGCAGGCCCTAAAGATGCCTCTCACAGAGTGCCTGTACACTAGGTCTGTATGTGACCCAGCTGAGGCCCTGCACATTGCATGAGGTACACCTAGTATAGGGTTCCAGGTTGCTTCCTGTCTTTGGAAAAGGAAAAAGGTTCAGGAGGTAGATGGAAGAGTCAGTGGGTATGGAGCAGGGGGCTCAAATCCAGGGCTCCCTGATCAAGTCCTAACTTTTCCATATGCTCTGACCTCAGCAGTGACTGACTCAAAGCACTCCCCCAAGAGATTCCATGAGCAGCAAGCACTACTGCCTCACAGAGAACCTGGTCCTGGGACTACCTACAGCAATCCTCTAAGTACATTTGGAGCTAGTGGGAAGAGGAAGGGAGGAGGAGGAAGAAAGGAGGAAGAATGAGGAGGAGAAAGAGGAATAAATTCCAGAGGAGGGTGGTTTGCAGAACTAAGAGGAGCCCCCAAGTCATTCCTAAGGAATATCTCACACCGTGGCTATATAAGTGTGGGGTCTATGATTAGACCCTGCTCCCCCCACCCCCCACCAGGTTTCAGTCACATGCTGCCCCCTTAGGCCGCTAGTTCTCTGTCCTCATTGTAACTTGAGTAATATAGTGAAGTCAGTCTATCTTTCTGGAAAAGAGAACAGGGTAATTCAGGATGCCCTGCACAGCAGAGAATGCTAGAGGACAGAATTCTGGCTAGCAAATAATGGTCATGCCCAAGAGTCCTCCCTGCAGGAACCTAACTTCTTAGAGGGCCTCTAGGGTGCCTGTGGACTCTGCTCAGCATGTGGTTGTGGTGGCAACAGCACACTCAGATGCCATCACTTCAGGTGACAACTGATCTTCATTATTTATCACTAACTACTCTCTAAGAGCAGTTCTCAGCAGGACATTCAGACACCCCTTCATTCACACCAGCTGCTAAGGCCCCAGCTCTGCCTGAAGGAGAGATGAGAAGTGCACAGAAAAACAACTGAGGGGACCAACTAGACAATGACACATCCTAAACAGCACCAGGGGGATGGAAAACAGAAGGACATTTGAGTTAAGGGAAATGCCAAAAGAAAGGAGACCTGCCAGAAAACAAAGATTGGTCTCGAGGGCAAGAGCGGGTGACCATATGAGGAAGCCACTGGGCAAGAACCATCAGTAGCCTTGGCAACTACCTACAGGGACAGGTGGACCCCCACAGTTCTTGATACCCCAGTATTATGTGCCAAGCATGTGGCCTTGGGAGGAGGCACTGACCACAACACAGGGACTGTTATGACCAGGGAAAAATGAAGGGGTGCTATGTGGGGAACAGCCCCTGGGCCCTCACCTTCCCCTCACACAGCAGGGTACCCACAGCCTGGCAGCCTCATGTCAAGAGAGCATCCTGGGAATGCTGCCTCAGCTTCCCCAGTGATGCCTATTCTTCCTTCACTCAGCAGGTCCTGTGCTCACTCTGGAGTAATAATGTCTGAGATCTGTGGGCTTGCGAGGTGAGATTCCCAGCAAGATGCCATTTGCAAAGGACAGGCCCAAACCTATGGCTCTGTAGGCTCAGGGAAAGCCAAGCCCACATTTCCAGACTTGCCATTGAAGAGAAAGACGAGCATGGACGGATAGAGATTCTGCAGGCCTGGGCAAGAGAGAAACAACCTAGCCCTGAGTGTGAGCTCTGCATTCTCAAACAGCACTGTTTGCCACGAGGGGCTGACCCATCATTGGTACAAGGCCTGACACTGTGTGTTTTGGTGATCTTTCAAAACTAGTTTTCAAGGTCACTCCATGCTCCTCCTGTCCTGTGCCATCCTTCCCTGTACTTGGCCCACTGCAGGTGAAGCTGCCTCTGTCTCTTCCCTTCTATGCTTCTGGGGGTGAGGTATGTTTTTAGAATCCTAGACTGCGAACCTTCATAGACTCCCACTGTTCTGCCCAGCCCAGGTCTGTTCCTGCCACCCTCCCTGGCTCTTTTTGGTACCCCAGTCCCCCTACAGTGCAGCTTGCCTTCAGGGCCTGCCCAGGACCACCCTCCATCTCAGTGCCAAGTGGCAGACCACTCTTCTATGCCCCTCCTCTGCCTGCCTTCCCAGGATCTTTAGGTCTCAACATAAGCTCAGTTCCTTTCCAAGCCCCAGGCTCAGACTAGGTTACTTGTTTCACATCCCTGTCTACTGTTCTAGGGAACTGTCAGAGTGGGTGTATGGGTATGTGTTCCCCACAATCATCCTTGCACGGTCTGCAGGCTTGTCCCTGTCTCAACCTAAGCCAAGCCCAGCTGAGTCCTTGTACCCAGGAGGCCATGGTGAATACCAATGGTGACCCTACTGCACCCAAGGGCCTATGTTTGCAGGCCTCCTGAGCTATGTAAACTCACAGACATGCCTTGCTCAGAGAAACTGTGGGATAGGCTAAATAACTATAAACTTCAAAATACCTCTTGCAGCTTGAGTACAAAGCGTCTACACAGGGAACCTGATAATTCTATAATCTACACTGGGCCCCTCAGTGGCCTCCCTGTCCTAATCACAGAGTGCTGGTAAATTTTATTTGAAATCCATTTATATATGGCTTAAGCTACTATTCGTATTTTAACTATCTTGGTGAATTGGTGACTGAATCATAGCAACTCTGGACTTCATCAATGTGGTCCTTTAGCATCGTGTGTTATGGGCACATGTTCTCACTAAGAACAAACCCAGGCATGTGAGGAGTGTGATTCTCCACCAGGCGAGGCTCTAAGCACACAGATGCACTTTGGCATTGGGACAATGATTTTCAGGTTCATGGTAGTCCTTACTGTCCAGGTCCTCTTTGGTCCCTCCAGGCTAACCTGAGAGGTTCCAAAGAGGTGGGCAGTCTAGTCTACTGAGCAAGGCAGCTCCAAGTGGGGCTGTGGAAACAAGCAACCTGATTCACTGGTTCCTGATTAGGTCAAGGGGACCCATCCAAGGGTGCAGATGCTGTACACGAGGACATAAGAGTTGGTTCCCAAGCTACTTTAGGAGTCAGAGGTTGGGAGGGAGAGTACTGCCGGGTCCTAAGCTGGTCAGCATGATGAAGTGTCTGCAGAGTTTCTGCAGATGACTGATGTATCTCAGTCTGCCTCATCTGAGTTGGAGGGCAGCAGTGGCAGAGTTTTACAACCCTGCCTTACTATGTGATAAGGCACAATCCATATCATGGCTCTGGACCCTGTTCTTTGCCTCAAGGCGATGCTGATTCTGTTTCTGAGCCTTGCTGGCAGCCACCAGCACTTTCACAGCTCTTTGTTTACCAACAGGCAACAGGGCCTGGACACTGGTCCCCTTCTATTGGAGACCCTGACTTCAGATTCAGATGAAGGGTTCGGAGCCAGTCATTTCCAGGGCCTAGCCCCACTTGGGTAGGGCACACATCCTTGTAGTCTTTCTTCCTAGACAGCTCCTTGACTATGAGTCGAAGTGTGAACCTTCACTGGCAGCAAGTACACTGTCAGCTTATACTGTCCCCTCTATGGTGAGAAGACCTATCCAGGAAAAGTCACCATGCATTCTACAGACAGCCCTGCAAACCCAGCTGAGGCAGCTCCCAGGAAACTGTGCCACCATTCCTAAGGATAACTCACCTCTAATGGAGGCCTCGGCGGCGAAGGACCCTGCCCACCATCTGTTCTCTCCAGAATGAGGACAAATGGCCTGTCAACAGCCAAGTCAAATTTAATCCTGACTCCTAGGTGTGCTTCCCTCCTTGATTTCAGGGCATTAAGATCTTATTTATGGACCACTTCTGCACTAGCACAAAGTGCTTTCCTCTCTGCCATCTGCTCTGACAATCCTCCTTGGAAGACAGAGAAAAGTGCTCACTGAAAGAGAAAGCATAGAGCCAAGAAACACAACCAAGCCTGGCCGCTCCCCACCAGTTTCAGGGTCTGCAGGTTGGACAGATGCAGATAGTGAGTCAAATTCTTCCCACTAGTACATGTATCTAGTTTCTGATACAAACTGCACAAACAATATGAATGTGATGCATCTTAGCCCCAGAGTGGAGTGGAGGACAGTGCTCCTGCAAGGTCAAGGCTAGGCACAGTGCCCATCCTGGAGCAACACTGCAGATATGGATCTCTACCCTCCAGGTTATACAGCCCATTCCTGAAAAATCACGAACCAGCCGTGCTTTTGAGAAAAGAAGGGTGAGAGAAGGCCAGGCCTTCTGCACCTCACTAGTGCCTTTACCAAAGCAGCAAGGTCACTTCAGAAGAATAAGGGGGACTCCCACTCTCAGCGTGAGTGTCTTTATGCCCTGGATCTTGGCAGGTAGGCCAAGAGCCAGACACACATCTTCTTCATCCCATGACCAGGCTGACACAGTCTCTGGGGGCTGACTTAGCAGAAGGCGTCCTGGGTCAAGTGGTGCTTTGCTCAGCCAGGCCCACAATCAGGCCCAGCTATCCCCATTTCTAAAATATACCCTTTTGTTCTTCCCCTGTGTGTACTCACCTGTCCAATCCACATTTTCATCACCAGCATCCCTCTGATGCTCTGGCTAGCCTGCCCCTCCTTAGCCCTGTCTCCTCCAGTCACCTGTAGGCTCTGTGCTCATCAACACTTATCCTTTGGCCCTCTGTGTGTTTGTCACACTCCTGCAACACAGGGCCTTTTATACCCTGTTCCCTCTGCCTGGACTGCTCTGGGCAACTCCCAACTCTATCCCCCTCTGAACTCATGCATTACATATGTACTTCAGATCATTCTATTCCACCCCCCCACCCCTGTAATGTTGCTGAGTAGAGAGCTACACCCGAGTTACCTGGCATTAATCAAGAAGCACTGCAGCAACATTGATTTGAACATGACTGCATCCCATGTCTCCACAGCTGGAGAGATAGTTTAAAGCATCTATG